AGACAGTTTTACAAAACAGTGTCTAATGCAGCATGCCCTTTTTTTGATCCTTGTGCCGATTCTCTAAGCCCTTCATTCAATTCAGTTCTCAAAGTTTCACTATATACCCATTAATAAATTGTGTTTTGTCAGATAGTTTTTCAGTTTTTATTTTTTAAATGTCATTAATATTACTCAATGCTTTGCTTCTAGCTACAGTTCTCAGATGCTTTGGGGCCAAGAGCTTGCGGTAAAATTTGGGAAGGTCCTGACTGCAGCCACTGATTGGGTAGGACGAAAACCTAAGATAATTGATGTGACCAATTCTTTGGACTTGGAGACCCAAGAATGTCCCAATTTATTTTACTAATTCCAATAAAATATTCATAGCTACTTTTTGTTTTATTCCTCTGCATTTACACCTTCTATAATTACATATCAGAAGGGCAAATTTTATTAAACCCATAATATTATAATATTTTTTGAGTTTTTAGTGCTGTTGTGCAATATATTAAATTACTAATTTTCAGTGACTGAATCCTGCCTGAAGATCAAATGTGCATCTTAAATGCTAAAAAATAAGAAAACTAATTTACATACATGTGAAATGTGGTTATTTTAAAACAAGCAAATAGTCCTTGATTTTGATTTATAAATCATAGTTAAGCTGAAAATAATCATGCCTTACATTAATATTCACTTCTTACATTCCATCTACAGTGCTCACACTTATTCCTATTCACCTATTTTACACTTAATTAATTTTTAAGCTTATTACTGCGCAAATCCTAATTATATATATATTTTTTTTTTGGAAACTGATTAATAATATTTTTTATTGCTTTTTTTTCTGTTGTTGAAAAATCTGGCTACATGCCTTGAACTTTGGAAGTATGACTTAAATACTTGCAGACATTTTATTTTAAGGCAATGTTATGAACAATATGAAATCTTTGTTCACTAGTTTGCAGAATGCTTATTCTCTAGCAATGCAAGGAAATAATTAATTTTCTGTTAAATAGGCATAGACTGAGCAGAGCATGTAGCTCCTTTCAAGATATCCTGGACAAATTTTGCGCAGTATAAATCAAAGGATTTTTTTTACTCATTATAAATCTAATTAATTGAATCTGCAACTGTACAGCCAGGAGTGCAATTAGCGAAATAAAATCTGAAGTGCAAAACCTCATAAAATAATTAACAGACTTGTACCTATATCCTACAAAACCAAGTGAAAAATTTTTCTTGAATAACGTATCAAAATTATCGATGGGCGTTCTGCCGCATCTTTAAATGCTTATTAATATTGTAGTAATAACGTGATGAAAATATTCATCGACATTCTACTGCATCTGTAAACGCCGTGGAATATGTTTTTTTCAAACTCGACATTCTACGGCGTTAGTGAAATATCAATTTTACAACGTCGTACAATATAAAAAAAATCGGGCGTTTTTACATAGAATGACGTCGTAAGCGAAGTTTTTTCGAGATCAATCGATATTGAGTGCTACTATTAGTCACATTTCATTGTAAATTTAATAAGCACATTCTTTTTTTTACAAAACTCAGAGCTCAAACTATTGTAATCACATGAAGCTTGAATATTTTCACAGTTACAAATGACACATTCAAGGAATATAAAGAATTCATAATTAAGTTAACTAAATTTACGCCAAACAAAAGATAAGGAGCATTTTTTTTTTTAATAAGATGCAAATTCAGACTTATTAAGAAAAAGGGTGATTAAAGATATAACATTTAATGGGCAGGATCTCTTAGAAGTTTATTTCCCACCAAGTGTAATTACAATAATTAATTGTAACTATGACAACAATGAGAGTGATAAAATAATAAATTATTGATTTTTGCAGCCATAAGATGATATTTGAAGTAGAAAGTGTAAGTGCCATGCCGCTTATACAGCTGCAATTATACGTTAAGGGTAAATAATTAGTTTTCATTACTTAACCAGGAAAAAGAACGGAACTTTATATAAAAGGGAAAAAATGGACCATTGCAAGAATAGAAAAGCAAAAATATTTTAAGTAAGAAAAAGTCTGGACGCAGCCTGTCATAACATAAATATGAGGGGCATTCAAAGGAAAAGGGTCGCTAGTGTAAAGTAACGGTAAGGATTTTATTAACTAACAAATGTAGTTATACGCAGTACACTTACTCAAAAATAGTTGCCAAATTATTCTATTGCGACACTAGTCGGTTGATTCTATCTTTGAAGAAACTACAGGGTGGCCACTCAAATCAGATTTCAAATTTCCCTAATTTTTCCAGATAAAAATCTTAAAATTTCCAGGTCTGTGTTTCTTTTTTCTTATAGGTTCAAGAAAAGTGTCTCAAAATTATATTTTAATTTTTGCTTCACCATAATATTTTCTTTTATCATTTAAAAACGGCTCATGGTCATAACAAAACAATAGACCAAATTTGAAAGTTGATTATTTGTCATCATAAGAGGTAAATCAGTAATGAATATTGTTATATTTTGCTCGAATTTCACTCGACAAAAAAAAAAAAAAAAAAAAAACTAGTTACATTTTTTTTACGAACTTATAAAAGCTATTGTAGATGTGAAAGGAAACTCTACTAAATATTACTAATTAGAAAAATTTAGAATATTTACTAATAGGCAGAGATTTTCTTGAAAGTGTACGATGACTGTTGTTCGATAAAGTTTTTGTTACTTTTTGATGATTTCTCAAAAATAAACTTTTGCTTTGTTTTTAAATATTCCATGCAGTTTTGTTAAGAATAGAATATATTTTTTATTATTAAATAGCCATTCTGAAATATTCATTTTAATTAATGAATTTTTATTTCCAATTTCATTGAAAGTCATAAGTGTACCAACACTTTTATGAGTCACTGTATGTACATTTCAATATGAAGCTGTATTGTATTCTGTATTTTATCTTAACAGTGCTTTTTATAAAATTGATAGATCATATTTTCTTTAAACCAATATCTTAAGTCAAATTGTTAAATGTTTCGAATTAGCATTATTATTTTAAGAGATTCAGTATACAAAAATAAATGTCACAACTGTAAAATTGTCTAATTTTTTGTTGTATACTCTATAGAAAAAAAAAACTTTTTTTTCTTACTTGAAATTAAAATATTTAAAGAATTCCAATCTAAACACATAGTTCTTTAGACACATAGTTCTAAACACATAGTTCTTTCAACTAGAGTCTTGTACAGTGCAGAACTAAAACATAAGTTTTGTTTTCCTTCTTTGTACTAAACACATATGAAAAAAAAAAATATATATTTTATCATTTAATATATTTCCTATATACAGTCGAACTCGTTTATAACGAGCACAAAGGGACCGTAACATGTACTCGTTAAATCCGAGTGCTCGGATTTAACGAGGCAGGTGTGCAACCAGAAGAGGGAGGTCAAATGATTAAGTTTACTTAAAATTTAATTAATACTAACTTACTTTAATTACATTAACAGCACTACGTTGCACCTTCATCTATTTCAATAACGCTTCGTCCAAATCCTCTTTCGAACACTTCTTCAGTCGCTTACAGTCTGTTTTATTTTGGTCGTATGCATCCATTAACTTGCCTTTGCTTTTTAGCAGTGTGGAAACAGTAGATGAAGACAATCCATACGTTTTTCAGATTTCGATATTTTTAACACCGTCATCCAACTCCGGTAAAATTTTTACTTTTTCGTCAACCGATAAAGCTTTAGATTAAGAGCGATAAGGGCAATTAAGTTTCAGTTCGCGGTTTTTTTTTTTCGATTTCTCGCGCATTTCATACCATTTTGAAAAAAATATGAGACAGAAAGATGAGAAAAAAGGTTGCAAGGCAGAAAAATATTGCTCGCTAAAACCGGGTCTTGCTCGTTAAAAGCGACTTCTGTTCCATAGATTTAACATTGATCCAACCAAATCCGAGTTCTCGTTAAATCCGAGCTCGTTATAAACGAGTTCGACTGTATTCCTTAGTCAGCTTTTTAGGAATAAAGGAGGAACAGTTTTGGAAATATCTCTGGAAAGTAAGCCACATTTACGAACTTTCGATATTGTGATGAGAATACAATTCGAATTTTGAATCAAAAATCATATATTGACCGACAAAACAGTAAAATTAAGTATTAATATATAGTTAGTTCTTAAAAAAACCTTTTTTTTAAAAAATATGTTACAAAAGGTTAAAATGAAATAGAAAAAATTAGCATTAATGCAACAATTTGTCGACAAACATTGCTGTTAGAGATTGTAGAAGAAAATGTTGATCGGTTGGTTTGCTGAGAAAAAATAATTCACAGATTTCTTTGAAAGCAAGCAAATTTTGATGCAAGCAAAGTATCGCTAAGTTTATGAGGTTTCAACTGTTTGGCGATACATTTCAGTCTGAAAAAAGTAGGTATATAGGATGAAATAATTTAAATGAAGAAAATTAGTAAATAATTTAAATTAGTCAAATTAAAACGATTATCTAAAAAAAAATTTCAGCTTTTCTTTAAAATCCCCTGATTTTTACAGGTTTTTATCCAAATTTCCCTGTTAATTCCAGGTTGGTGAATAAGTAGCCTGCTGTCGGATCCAGGCTTGGACCCAGTCACACATGTTGTCGTTCGTTGTGAATCTATGTCGGCGAATAGCTTGTTTTAGAGGTCCAAAAACATGAAAGTCACATGGTGAACGATCTGGACTGTACGGGGGATGTTCCAGTGTTTCCCAACGAAACTGCTGCAATGTTGTTTTCACCGCATTGGCAATGTGTGGACGATAACTTGCTTCCCCCTCCCCTTCAGCATGCAAGAATACTGACGGTATGCAACACAAAACATTGTGCATGCGTCAGTGTCTCTGCCAATAGATAGGCCCCCCATTACGTTTAATACAAAGTTAGACGGACTGACCAGGTTTCATTTGAAGGACCCTCATATATCTCCCTATAATTTGTATGAGGTTTTGAGCGATAAAGCAAAGAGCATTTTTATCATATCAATGTTGTTTATTGAATAAAAAGTAACACAACTTATAGCATAAGAATCTTTAATACAAGAACAAGTGTAACATGAATCAACAAATATACATGGCATTGAGTTATACAGACAAGAGCATTAGCTCATGCAACTGACTTCTAATTTCCGACTAGTTTGTTTAGATTTTCAACGCGCCACCACCTGAGTTCACTCGGCATCTAACAGACTCCAAAACACAGACATAAGTTTATCTTTTTATTTTACAAATCTGTGGCTGCACAATGAAAAAAAAAAAAAAAAAGAAAAGATATCTACAACTACACTTTTTCCCAAACAGATGTTTTCTGTGCACAATATATGGATTTATGTAATTTAAATGGAGTAATGGCTCCCATGCTGCGCATGTCTATAAGAATATGGCAGGGCAACCATAAATAATGAAATATAGTCAATTCCAATCCCCCAACCCAATGAGAACTGAATGAGGAAAGAGTGTAACAAATTAACTACCATACTAAGCACATACTAGCTTGTTCTAAAAAATAAAACGGCAACAGAACAGCAGGAAGATCCTGAAAGATTATTTCAAGGCAGATCACAAGGCATTTCAACAAAGAATCTTGATATTAAAAACTTCTATAGCAATGAACTTAAACTATTTACAGCAGCTAATGAAGAGAAATGTGCTTGCCAGCTGTGGGAACCATTTCCTGTGCCAGCACTATAGATCTGTGGTAAAATGAACAATAGTACTGTGCTCATACATTGTAACATACCAATTCCCATAATTCTTGATTTTATATTGTCAAACACTTTTTTTAAATATAAAATTTCTACATCTACAAAATAAAAGTTTTTTTTTCTGCCCATGATTTCTCTCATTTTTTAAATTTTATTAATAAGAGGCAAAAAAATGTATATGCAGTGATCTTCTCAACTGGGCACACGGATGGAACACAGTTTCATTTTTTTTAAAGTCTATTATCCTAAAATCTGATGGCAATGCTGTACACTATACACAGAAACATCAAAGTAGCTCGGCATTTATCAACACACATATAGCATCTTAACAAAGACGGCACCAGTTTAATATTAAAATTTAAAGACAAAAGCAATAATTTGTTTTGTCAAAATCAACAACAAAAATAATTTATGCTAAATTCTAGTCTTTTATACAAATAAAAAAGCCTTAACTGTAAATTATTTAAACAATCTGGTTTCAATAAATAATACACATAGTAGCCAGGTCGGATGATAAAATAAAGCAAGATAATACTTGTGTGGTCTCCAGTTTATTTAAAAACATCAAAGCCTTAAAGCCATCAAATATTGCAATTCTGCATGCACAATGATGACATATTAGGATGGTTAGGGATTTGGTATGTAAGTTTTTGTTTCCGTGCATTGTTTTACAAGCTACCATTGGCAACACAATGCTCTCTTCATATTAATTTTTTATGCCCAACTGAAAAGGGCTACAATGTAGACTCCATAACTTTGGAGTAATAACGAATCAAACACTAAAAGTCAGCAAATTCCTTGGCACACTTTTCTGTTGATGATATGCGCAGTGCCTCTTCTTCATAATCATCAAAATTACTTGTATCACCAGGTCCTTTACACTTCGGAATGAAAGGAGCTTCCACCTAAAAAGATGCATTATTGTACAATATTAATAATGTGCAAAAGTTTAAGATTTTATAACTGAGAGATTTTATGATATTACAATACTAATATGTTTCAACTGGCTGGAATAAAAAAAAAAAAAAATAGAAATGGTATAAGAAACTCAACAGATTTGAGTAATTTATACAAAAGCATTAAGGCAAAGATAAAATTCCTAAAATAATAAGGGTATTGACCCTTTTTTCTAGAAAGCTACAGAATAAAATATCTAGAATTTTGTGAGTTCAGAACTGGTTTTAGTAAGAAACTTCTTGCAGACTTAGGTGACAATTTTATCATATATTGTGGTATATAATATAAAAAGCGATAGATTTTTAGTGTGTTTTTTTCCCCTAATTCCTGGAAAAAAAAAGGATTCGTTTTTATGCTTCTATTAAAAAATTAAAATATGTGAGTGAGAAAGGAAAAGAAAAAGTGCGTGCTTCCTCTTAAGAATTGCTGCAATACAATCTGTTTCCGCTAGGTAGATTTTTTTTACAGCAATAACCTTCATTGGTGGAAATTTATTAGAGTTTTACGGATTCTTTTTCACACTATGTATTTCATTGATTTTTATATTTGTTACATTAGCTTAATTATAATCAATACTTAAATATAAGTCACTTTATTAATAGAGGAATTAATATATATATTTTTTTTATCATTTCCATTTAGCTTTCTTTGTGCAATTTTTGTAGTTTATGGGCAAAATTTAGTGCTTCAGATTTACTTTTATTCTCTGCGAATTATGATTCACTCATTATGTCGCCCTTTAGGATGTATAATCTATGTGATCTTCGAGTACATAATGAACAGAATTTTATATATGATAACGCATATAAAAATATCAAATATTGTGATATACGTATTTACTTCATTTCAAAGCATTGGATAAGCAAAATGAATAAGTTTTGTCACTAGTCTACTCATAATTCAAAACATATTTGTGACATAAATTTGGTGTTCAAACAAACAATTAAAAAAATTTATTTTATATAATTTTCTACCAGTTATATATTTTTAATTACTCAATAATCAGAATTTATATTTTAAAATAATACGGTTTGTAATTCAATTAAGTCTTAGTATGTAAGTGTCAAAATGTCATAAAATAAGACAAAAAAAATATATAAATTTTTCATTTATGAAAATCAGAATTTATAATTTTTTAAATGCAAAAAATAACAGTAACCAAAAAATATACTCCTACATATACTTTTTCCCAACTAAAATTTCGTATATGTTTTCATCAGGGTTGAGATTTCGTTGCACTGTAGGTAAAGTATGGTAGAAACTGGACAAGGTAAAAACTAAAAAATTACCAACTCAATTGTCTAGCAATAATTATTAAAAAATTTTTTTTTTAAGAAATAACTATTTCCATATTATTTATTTTAGTTTAATACAGAATTCTAAAATATGTAAAATCTATAATGTAATTTATTCATAATTTTGCAGTTTTGTTATTTCAAAATTCCTAAATAAACTTGTATGCTTATATCTAGCTAAATATGTGAAATTATTATTTTTGGTTTAATGAATATTTTGTCTAAATTTAAAATTATATAAAAAATAAACACTTCATAGCAAATATTCTTAATGCTGTGATATTTTTTTACCAGTTTTAGATATATTTTAAATCAGTTTTCTTTTTATAAAAATTTAATGTTATTTATCAATTAAATAATAAGAACTAATTTTTTAATGTAAAGTTATATCAGTCACTTCTAAGCAGAATACTGTCAAGTTATCAACATTTGGAGGGAAATGTTTTTTATTTATTTAATATTTGAAAGCTTACAAGTTTCATTTTTTAAAAATAAAACTTTTAAATTGATATTCATTTTAAAATGTTCATGATTTTTTTTAAAAAAGATATCAAATGGAGATATTAAAAAATCTGTTAAGTTTTTTACCACTTATTCAATTATTTATTTTAATCCCTTATTTAATTTCCTTTTTATATTATTCACGATATTTTTAAAAGGAAAAAACATCCTTCAGTAGTTGAAAAGGTTAATAGTCTAATTTAGCTAAGTTTTAAATTATTGTATTGTACAGTTGTATCATCAGGTGATATTTTTAAGTTGGTTTATAATTATTCAAAACATTACTATGAGGACGAAAATAGCATCTTAATTATTTCTGAGATTATTTAAGCTACTGATATTAATATGTAAGGCAACTATTTTCAAAGGAAATTGTAGTTGAAACCCTATATGCACTTATAGCACATACAAAATAGCTATATTTATAATTGATATTCAAATTTTAATATTAGTTCTAAATGATTTCAAATCCAATAAATCTTCATATAACAATGATAGAAAATATTAATAAACATATATATAATTATATAAGATATATTGCATAAATTCAAAAAATATCCATAAACGTTTGTAATAAGGTTTTATAATAGTTTGGAATAATTGAAACACAATCAGCTAATTCTTTTTATTCAAAATATATTTCTGATAAGAGAACTAATAAAAAAAACATGGTAACTTAGAAATTTTTTGTTAAATCTTTTTACTTAGTTTATTTTTCTCCATTTTCTTAACTAGGGTAAATTGTTCACATAAAACTACACAACAATATCTTGTTTTGAACAGTCTAAATCAATGCCAGGGGAATAATACAGCCAGGGGAAATTCAATAGTTTCAAGGGAGAGTGGGGACGATTTGATTGCGCCTTTTCATGCAATTATGTACCCATTTGTAAATATACCATTGTTTGCCACTCTTCACTGAAGTGTTAGTTGATTTCAAGCATGAAATTAAGTGAGCAAATATTTGATAAATTAATTCCTTTAATTATAATGTCTAATTTTGATATTGTTAATACAGTCAAACCTTTATTCAATGTTCACACACCTTTCGTTTTTCGGCATGTATAGCCTTGTTTTAGCAGTCTTGTCACGAATACTATTCTTAGAATGTTAATATCTGTTTAGATAGTTTTTTAAACTTGTATATATCCGTTTTTATGGTTCAGAAATATGGCGATTTTTTCTTAGCAACTTTAGACATTGTTATTTAAAGAAAAATATCATCATTTTTTCTTAAAAAAAAAAAAGCTACAGTTATACAATTAATTAAATTTAATTCTGAAAAAAAAAAAAAAAAAAAAAACTGGGTATCTTTTTTGGTTTTGTAATTTAGGAAAAAATATTCTAGGTAAAAAATAAGGAAAAGTAGGAAATAATAAGAAATAACAGGAAAAAAAAGAAGGGGTATGAAAATAATAAGCCTGCAGTTCCTATTTGAGATCAAGATAAAACATGCTAATTGCATAGAAATAATAAATAGTTGTGTTAAATTACAAAATCAGATACAAAACACTGTTTCTTGAAGGTAAGGTTGTCTTAAAAATAAGGAATTTGAATACTTAAATATAAAACGTAATAAGGAATCTAAACACTCTTAAAATATGGGGTGAAGAAGGTTGCCAGAATGATTTATATATAAATACACAGCGATATCTTGAACAAAAAAATTCATTACTGTCATCCCAAACCTGATTGAATGATTTAAGTTACAACTTAAATTATAACCTGAATGATTAACAAAGCAGTTTTGTCAAGTTTGATCTATTATTCAGCAACAATGAGGTGAAATCTTGTATCAAAAGCATGAAACAAGAATTTTAGTTGTTAGGAAATGATTTAGTGTAGATAAAAAATAGCTGAATGTTCTTTTGTGAATGATGTTTGAAAATAAAAGTTATTTTACAAGATTTTAATTTGTTATAATCTTTTTATTCAATATCAACTGTATTTAAACTATAAATATATATATATAAACTACATTCTGTTTTATGTACAAATGGTTATATCTTTGGTCATCTACAAATAAAATTCAATCAATTGGTGTTTTTTCTCTTCTAATTTTGTTTAACTTGCATGCAAAAATGTAAATTTATATTTATTATTACATTAAGATGTTGCCACACTGCTTTGATAAATTAAGTTACATTTAAAATATATTAAAAAATAGATCAAAATTTTTTTTTTTTGGTTTAGTTTTCATGTAATAAAATGTTTTGACTAAAAAATTTTCGATCCTGTAATTCACAAAATTGTTTAGAAGATCCTGAAATTAAGTACGGAGCATGAAATTTAATTTTTTAATTAACATTAATAGACCCATATTTTTCACTCTTCTTTCCAAAACTAAGGGGCCACAATATTTTAAATGTCAAAAATTCAAACCTGTAAAGAAACAGTACGTTTCAGAAGAGAAACTATGCTTTGGTATGTGATTTCATAACTTGATTAATCGTTAGCTATAAATAATTATCATATCCTAACTATTTCCTGAACAATTAATTCTTGAATTTAATTAATTAAAAAGAGTGACACTTCATATTTCGTCGTATATATAATTCAGTGGATAAAAATAAAGGTGAAAGAGTGGCATATATGCGGATATGGCTTAGTCAATCAATAATGCATATAGAACACAATTTTGTTTTATTGATGTTTGTATCAGGTGCAAATTATAATATGGGGTGTAATACTGAAGGGGAAAAAAACAATAACACTGTCTTTTTTAATTACATTATTTAAGTGCTTGAAATTTTTAAAAGATTACTATTAATTTTTATCTGGTTTCATTTACTTATTATATTCATTATCCTAAAAAAATTAAATAATTATGAATTTCTTTTCTTGAATATGTATGTTTATCGTCATGAATATAAAGTTAAGCTAATACTGGATTTGTAACTATTATATACTTTATTGAATTTATTGATAGAATTAACTAAGTTCTGGAAAAAAATTCCCCTGTGATCTGATATCAATAAACTTAATAACTTAAAAATAATTTTTGCTGTAGATCATTAAGAAATATATCTTATAATTTATCACATTCATTATTTTTAAATCATATGTAAGCAGAATAAAATGGAAGTTATTACAATCAAGAGCACACCAAATAAAAAATGAGCTATTAAAATATACTAAGCTTAAAATACAAAGGGCAAGTGCCTGTGGGATTAAACATCAGTTTTTATGATATAATGCAAAATGGACAAAATTTATCAATAATAAAATTAAGTTAATTATCTATATTAATATACATAAACATATAATTAAACATAAATTGTACTATAAAAGAAAAGAAAAATTATAACAGTATTTTGATTTTTTTTTTCATAAAAAAATGTTAAATAACCTCAATCACTTGGAGAATTCAAGCCAGCTAGAAGGTTTGGAATTCAAATGCAAAATGATCAGTAAGAGTTCGTCGAAAGGTATTTTTGTCTTCGGCATAGTTATCAAATTGGCGAGTATCTCCTTTTGAAGTTAGTTTAGGTATAAGAGGGGCTTTCATCTAAACAGACATGCAAGAAGAGAAAGGCATGCAAAAATAAAATAAAACCAAAATCATAAATTAAGCTAAAAAGATATAAAAAAAGATAAACATGCAAGAAAAAAAAGTTGAAAACATTATAAAGCATAAAATAAACCATCACCAAAGATAAATCTTTATAGGTATAGATAGTATTTGAAAATGATTTAGAGATAAGGCAAAAAAGTAGTTTTTTTATGGGTTTAGATAATGAAGAGTTAAAGGGGAAAAATTAAGTAAGAAATTATAGTTTTCAATTTATTAAATATAAATAGAAAAACTTTGGTAAGCAGTTCCCCCTCTTTTTCAACACACTTGTAGCAATAATTAAATATAAGTAGGTATATGAAAGGATTAGGAAAATTTCAGGTCATTCATTCTACATGCATGGTAAAAGCAAATTTGCAAAGAAAAAAAAAGGAGGTAAACTAAATTAAAATCTAAAGTATACTTGCCTATTTTTTTATGACAAAAATGAATTGCTACTTTTTAAACAGCATTTGTAAAAGAGGCTAGTTAATCATCACCTGTTCCTCAGATGTGTAACGTTTTTTTTTTTTTTTTAAATTCTAAATTTTGCGATGATTTTACAGAATATTTAAATTTAGTTTTTTCAAAAATAAATTTTGAAAACCAAGCAACTATTTAGATTAATTTAACATATGAAAATTTTAATGACATAAGAATCATGAAAATATTGTAATATTTCATTTTTCTGACAAACAGTATACTCACTTTAACGCACATAAGTATTTTAGAGTATTTTTCAGTAATTTTAAATTATAATGAAAAAAAAATTTTTTTTTTGGTATAGCTCTCTAAATGAAATGTTGCATATTTATCAAAATATATCAACAAAAATTTTAACCTTCTATTTACTGAAACAATTTTATTGCAAGTGATACAAGCCCTCTGCAAAAAAAAATTGTTAGTATGTTTAAATTGAAATTAAGTGGATATATAAACTGTTAACACAATTACGAGATGCACTTCTCAAAATAATTAAAATTATATGAAGAGGATCATGAAAAATCAGAATGTATCAACAATATTACTTTTCCAGAGTTGCCACAGAAAAAAATGAACAAAATAGTTGCTTTTAGTGGCTTAAGGTATGAAAATAGTTGACTAAATAAGAAAAAAATTTATCAAAAATATGACTAAAATTTTTGTAAATGACTTGTGGCAAATATAATTTTTAAATAAAATTTCTTTTGTACAATTGGCAAAAAATTAAATACTTTTAATTACTAGAATTCATTCAAAAAATATTTTTTCATTAAGAAAAAAAAAAAAACTAAACATTTTTTCCTTTTATCAATCATTGATTAAGCAAATATATATATAAACACACACACACATATATATTGTGAAAAGTGCTCACTACAATTTTAAATTCATGCATCATAATATATTAAAAATTAGGTTTTTAAAAATGATGCGGAATTTCGTAGCAATAACCATTGAAAAGGCGATCAAGAAACGAAATAGATTTACAATGGAATCTGTGCAAATTGAACGAATTAAAAAGTGATGACTCAAATTTGCAATTCAAAATTTTTTAAGAAAAAAAAATCAGTGTGTTCCGAAGCTCCCGTAGGCCCACGGTTTTCAACCAAATTTATGCAAAAAAAAAAAAATAAATAAATAAATAGAAACATCACTAGGAGTACAGAAAAGTCTCCAAATAGTCTCCTTTTCCTGAAAATAGTTGCTTTTTTCAAAAAAAAAAAAAAAAAAAAAAAAAAAAAAAAAAAAAAAAAAAAAAAANAAAAGCATAGTAACCTCATATAGAAAATAGTTGCATTTTAGTTGTCTGTAGCAACCCTGCTTTACACGTGTTTTGGACTCCAAATCTTTGATCATTGCTATGACTGTAAAAGTAGAATGCCATTAGATCTAGTAAAAAAATTTAATTAACTCTTAAATACGCTCTTTCCATTTTACAGTTTAGTGTTGCAATTCTTTTTAATAATAAAAATGAATTTCTTAAACACTTTTTTTTAAGTATTTCCTAATGCAACTTCATGTTAAGTAATACAAATATTTTCATATGCCACAGAAACAAATAAAAGTGTTTGTAATTGTTTTATTAAGGGACATTCAAATCTAATAAAATATAAAATTAAATGTTTATTTTTTAGAAGAAAAAAAAAAACTCAAAGCAGCAAATAGAAAAAGGCACAGTTCCATGGCATAAAAACAGACACACTTTATGCTGTACTTGTAGAGACTTAATTTATGAAAATTAGGTTTGCCACTGTAATACTTTTAGGATTTCCATATTAAGGCAATAATTATTAAATTTGATAGGTATAAATATCAACCACTATTTTTCATATTATTTAAACTATTAAACTTACAATCCAGTAATTTTTCATTTGGCATATTTTCAGTTTGTGCATATACTATATAAAAAATCTATTTGAATGCATTTAATACAAGGCGTCAGGATGTAAGGTCACAGGATGTCGCTGAGACATCTAAAAAATTTTCACTATCAGGCAAATTTTGCCTGGCTATTGACAGAGTAACAACATTTCTTTTTCTCCCTCTTCTATTTTAGAAAACCAATAAAATTAGTCAATATAACACATTTATTTAACCCTTTTAAATAGCAATGACAAAAATATGCAAAATATATTTGAGGCATCCATTTCACAATTCTTATATCTACCTCAATAAATCTAATTCCCTCCTCATCAATGAAAAGCCAATTTTTCAATCATTAGTCATGGATTTCCTATTTCTGAATAAAAACGAGCCAGTTTAATCAGAAAATGAAAACAAGTCAGAAATTGGCTATCTTCAAAAACCTCTTGCACACTTCTTTTAGAAAAGAAAAATTCAAAAGGTGTAACAGTGAATGGTAAATAAAGTTTGGTCAGTAATATAGGTGAACGTTACACGAAGTAAAAAAAAATTATCAATTGTGATTACATAATACAGACACTTTTCTTAAAATACATAACTATTCCTACTGTAAAAAAACTAAGTAAATAATAAAAATCTGAACATATCTCCAATGAAAAAAAAAAAAACTTATTGCCGCCGCCATTACTATATCAAAAAATTTCAATTATTTCTAACAGGCGACAATTTACCGGTATATTATGCATTTAAGAGTTCAAAGAGGTATGCCAGCAACTCTTGTTCAGGGTGCGCAGCCAAATCTATCAACAAAAAAAAAATAAGCATCTTTTAAGTACTTTTTAAGCACTATATACATTAACAAAATACAAAACAATTTTCAAAGACTTTTACATGATCATGAAAAAATTACTAGTTTTAAACAAAGAACTCTTTTCTTGATTATATTAGCCACCATAAAAAGATCGAGAGATTTTTAAGTTCCATTTGAGTGTGTGGAAAATGAATCCTGAAATTAAGAATATCTTGCAAAGTGCAGCAGAGCTGCACATGCAAGTGCAACCCAGCACACATGCAATTTCACCAAACCCAGCTCAGCAGAAGCACATGCGGACCCGTAAGTATTTAATTAAACAAGTACAATGATTGGCGCTTTCATATGCTATAGACCGACGGTACGCCTAAATATAATTGTGTTTGAATGAATTGTGAAAACATTGAATAGAACAATGTGAAAAACACGCTTTTGCACAATACATAGCAAAAATTGAGTGTCAAGAAAATAAACCTCATTTCAGAAAAGGGAAAAGTAAGCACTTTTAAAAACTACCAATGAAAAAAGTACCTTTAAGGGCTTTTAAAAAAGCTACGTACCATGTTGTTAAGAAAATAATAATGTATAAAGAGACTTTTTCTTTTAGAATATATTTCATAACTATAACTGTACAAAAAGAAAAAAAATATGAAAAGATGATATTTAAATTGCAATGAATAAGGCAATAGTAACAGCTTACTGGACTTTAATTTACCTTTTTCTGAAATATTGTGATCCAGTCAGTTGTAGCAAACCATTTATGGTTTTTTATGTCATTTACTCCATTCTTTAAATTGCCATATCTTTTAGTAAGGTCAACTTGTAACAAGTTTTTCAGAAGATCTTTCAAATCAGAAGTAAAGTGGGAGGGAAATCGCACCTAAGTAAAAGGATTTGTTAATAATCAGTATTGCTACAAATAAGTCTTAAGAATTCAGAAGGAAAATATCGAAGACATACTTTTCCAGACACAATTTTTTCATAAATTTGAATAGGTTGATCTGCGAAAAAGGGAGGATAGCCAGCAGCCATTTCATATACAAGTACACCTAAGGCCCACCAATCTACAGCTTTGTTATAACCCTAGAAAGAATAATAGAATAGATTAATCCTAAAAATTAATGTAATCAATCACAAATTATATACAATAAAACACAAATTATGCATGGATTTCTATATTTCGACAAAACAACTTTCCCATTATAAACTTATAAATCAAATTACTCATTTCTTTTAATTAATTAACACTTTTATTTGGCCAACAAAAAATTAGGGTCAGAAAAATCTCTCATATTCTCTATTAAAAAGTTTTTGACCCAACAAATTTACATCCTAAAATAAGGCAAAATCAACATTTTAACGTATTTTTAAATAATATATAACTATAAATAAACATATGCGAGATTTTAACTACATATAAAATGCTGCTAACTCTATACAGAATTAAACAATGCAGTTGATGCTCGAGATAATGATCCAAATTGACAAATGGAAACAGATCTAATAAGAGTAAAAAGAAAAGTTATATTTTTTTAAAAAAAAGTTAGAAATTTACAGAATAATTGATAACAGTGTAACATATATTTTTATGTTTCACAAACTATAGTGAATGTGAAAAATATTCATAAAAAATAATGCTATTTACCAGCAGCCATTTTTATTTAATAATAAAAGTCTAAGAATACATCAGAAGGATGGGGATGTTCTAACTCGAAAATATACTATCTAAGAGATATAAATTTATTGTATGTCTTAAAAAGAAATACAAACATGTTATAATTTAAGAAAAAAAAAAAAAAGAGAATGTATATTTTTAAACCTAATCAATGCATATTATCAAGACTATTTCTCCACAATAATATAATACAGTAGAGAACCATTTATCCGGCATCCAGATAACCTAGAAACCAGAAAAATTTTTGCTCAGGTTTCCCGCCATTTTAAACTAGAACGATAATGAAAAAAAGCTGAAATTGGACTCATCCTTGAAGTTGAGTAGAGGAAAATGTGAGAAAGGGGAGAATCCCCCCCCGTTTACCCAGAGAAACGTCATTTCTTCCGTGCTCCTTGATCTTTAGATCTCTCGATCCAAAGATCTTCAAGGAGGCAGGGAAGGGACGAATGTTATATTTTCTCCTTTAGGCCATCAATCAAACTCAAAGGAGTAGCATGCTGATTTCATTTTCTCTTTGATTTACGAGGGGGTGGGGAAAATGCATTGCACATGCATATCAGTGAACACAAGATGAAAGAGAAAAATATATTTATCTATTTCACATCGCTTAATAATAATAAAATCTTTTTCTTTCGAATAAATTCTGATTCTTTGGAAGTGCGGTATCATTTGCAAGTTTTTCTTGATGTGGAATCACATCTGCATTAATTAAAAATCGTTTTTATAAAAAAATAAAAGGAGAATTGTTTATTAATTTAAACATACAATTATTTTATGAAGCAGATTGCAGTTTTGATATTCTGATTCCACTACGTTTGATTTTTTTCTTCTTTTCACGATAAATTTCGCACTCAATAGATTAATTCTTTTTATTCATAAATTTTATCATTAAGTTTTTTTTTTTTTTAATTCCGTTGATCTTGCCTTGTTCCAGGTTTTAATATTTATGCTACTGCCTTTTTTAACTATCGTTTCAATAATTTTCAAGTGTAGTTTTTATTTAGATTAATAAGTTTTCCTTTTATTTTATCGTCCCCCCTTTATAATTAGGTATGAAATATATTGCATTACAGTACAGAACCTGTTATCTGGAAATCAGAAAACCAGAACGAAATTCGATAAATTTTCCCGCCATTTTTTTTAAAAAAAATTTTGTTTTCCTCATAAATTTTTAGGATTTTTCTTTCTTTTTTGAAAGATGTTCACCTTACTATCATTTTGAAAAATAATCATTAGTGTATTATTCATCGTTTTTTTCTTCTTTTTAACATTATTTCCAAAACCTTTCTCTTTTTTAAATTGGGTTTAACAATAAAAAAAGTATTTTTGTAGCGATTCCGAAAACCGGAAAAATCAGTTATCCGGAATAGCGATGGTCCTGATCGTTCCGGATAATCGGTTCCCTACTGTATATAATCATTGGTTTTGTTTATATTAGTTAATTTATGAATTGTAATTATTTTTAAAATATAAGTATGAGAATTTTGTATTTTTAAACTTGTTTTTCTTGTCTAAACTCGTAAATTTTTTTATTTTAAATTTTATTTTTCTACCATATTTTTTGCTTAAATTCAGGAGTGCTTTTCTTTTTTCTCTTACTCTTTTTCCTTGTAATTCGGGTTCGATAAAACATCGATTAACGACACTTTTAGGTCAATCCAGAAAACCGGGAAATTCACACATAAGGGGTAGCAATGGTCCCGAGCATCCTGGATAATTGGTTCTCTACTGTATTAAACATTAGTTTATGATTAATGTGAAGTATTTAAAGGAAAACTTTGTAAATGTTTTGGTTCAAACGAAATTCAAATTTTTTTTTCCTTATGCAAAAGGTATAGTAATATCAAAAATAAAAGTGGTTTAAACAATTTCTTCGATCAAACGACTAATTGTCAATAGAAGCTTTTAGCTTTGAAAGCACAACTTGTTTAACAAATTTCATTTTGGTCTGCATATAAGAATGACTATTTTAGTTTAAAAATTCTAATGGAAATTATTTTGACCTCACATCTGTGTAATAACGAACAGGTGTTTTTATAACTGTCATCATAATAAAATGATTGCTATAATGTGGGGTAATAATTAAAGAGTCAAGATTGTGTTTTAGTATCAACTTTATTTTTTCGGGATAAATATTGACTTAACTGTTGACAAATTTTAATATACAGTGGAAAGTCGCATATCCAGAATCAGTGGAACTTCCGGAAGTCCGGATATTAGATTTTTCCGTATAATAGAACCCCAAGGTAAACAAAGCTTAAAACGATCTGAATCTAAGAAGCAAAAAATAAATAAACATTATTTTTCGGGCAATAATGTTTTAGTATTAGAATGATATCTAATCAATCAAAAAGAAAATATTAGAAAAAACTAATTATTGCTCTCTCCGCCATTTTGAACTACAACGATTCAAGCAAGAAGGGGAAATTCCTGTCATTCATTAAGGTGGGTAGGTGGAGGAGAAAAATTCATTTCCTCCTTATTTGTCATTCAAGTTGAGGGTGGGGAGGTGATAAATTCTTATTTTCTCTCCCATCATTGGCTATCAATCAAGCATAAAGGCGTGGCATGCAGATTGGGTTCTCTTTATTTTTTTCTTGCTTGACTGAAAGTGACTTGACTCTCCCTTCAGGTAAACATTTGCTGCATTTACCCTTTTTCACAGTATTTCTTCTTTCCCTAACACTCTAATAAAAAGGTTACCAGGAAATGCCTCTTTTACTAGCCAGCTGCATAGAAAAGAAGGGGGAGGGGACTCAGTTGTGTTCTTTTGAAAACAAATCTTCCACCTTTCCTGCATTCCAGAGGAGGAGCGTTGAAGGGCAAGGGAAAATTAACTTACCTTCTTTTCTATTTACGTGTAAATGGATAAAAATTGACAAACTAGAAAACATCAGGAAAAAAAAAACTATATATTTATTTTACATCAGAGAAAAAAAAACTATAGAAGTTGCCATTCAGTGGTACAATAATATTGGCCTCCGCTACACACTCCCCCTTTTAGTGGTAACGATTATGACACGTAATTTTTAGATGATTAGGAAATTTCACTTTTCTACCAGATCTGGTGGTTTTGTATTCCTTTGAACTCTTTCACTGACTTATCTTTTGGTCTTTCGCTAAATTCTCTCTTGTCGGTTATTAGCTTTTGGTTGGGGATATCACTATCTTCCAGTTGAAATCATGGTTTTAATCTGCCGATCAAAATTCTTTTGATTTTGCCCTGAATTTCAATATCGAAGTATTTATCTTTTCTAGATATTACAGAGTATAGTCCAAGATAGACAGGTTGTAGCAAAGAATTGATGTTGTTATTGTAAAGGAATACATTTGAGCAAAGTTGTTTTCAAACGAAAAGTGTTCTTTTTCCGTGTGGTAAGGATAGGTTTCATCCTCCTTATGATTCTCTTTAAGTTATGAGAAAATTCAGACTGTAGCATGTCGGGAAATATTGAAAAGAATCCCCCTGGTAATGATAAGGCAGTTCCATATACTAGCAAGCAATGCTGATGAGCAACCCAAGTCTTCCTTGACGGCGGCTCTTATCCCCAGAAGAACGAGAGGTAGTGCTTCCAGCCATGATTTTGATCCTAGTAGATGGCATTTGAGGCTTGCTTTCAAAGTTCTGTGTTATCTTTCGATCAATCCATTTGCTTGGGGGTGATAGGCTGTTGTATTGTTGGTAAGAAATCCTAAATATTTTACTAAGGTGCGAAATAGCTGGCTTTCGAATTGTCGACCTTGGTCGGAAGTTATGTGAGCTGGAATACCAAAATGAGAAAACCAGTTGGAAATCAAAGCTTTGGCGATTGATCTTCTAATGGAACAGCTTCAATCCATTGTGTCTAGCGATCAATGAAAAGATATCTAAATCCTTTGCAAGTGGGTAAAGGACCAATTATCAATCAAGTGCTTGAATCTATGATGAGGAATTGCAAATTCTCCTAGTGTGGACTGTGTATGATTATGTACTTAAGATTGTTGACATGATAAACAAGTTCTAGACCATAGCTGGCAGCCTTTATTGATATTCGGCCATATGAATCTTTAGGTGATGAGTTTCCTACTGCTTCTAATCCCTGGATGCGACAGGTTATGGATAGATGAAAATACTTGTCTACGAAATTTTGAAAGAGTGTATGGGCGGTTACTGCTGGTTGACACATCAAAATAAATAGATTTACTGGTGCCTGGAATAAGAATTTTAACCATCTTTAGTCTTGGATTATTTCTCAAAATGGTAAAATCGTCATTTTGAAATTCTGCTATGGTTGCATAATCAATCGGCGATGGCATTGAAATTATGTTGATTCTATAAAGAGCGTCTGCTACAACATTTTCTTCTCCTGCAACATATTGAATATTTGTCGAAAATTGAGCAATATAATTCAGTTGTCCTGCTTGTCTAGGGGAGGGTTTCTCTAAATTTTGCTGGAAAGCAAATGTGATAGGTTTATGGTTCGTATAGATGGTGAAATTTCTTCCTTCTAAAATGTACTTGAAAAGTTTTATTGCAGTGTAGATAGACAAAAGTTCCTAATCATACGTACAATATTTTCTCTGCATATCGGTTAAAGAACGTGAAAAGAAACATAATGGATGCATTTCCCCCTGTTCAATTTGATGTATTACAGCCCTATGGTAGTATCAGAAGCGTCGCATGTGAGAAATATAGCAGTGTTATTTGATGGGTGACCCAGCATCGCAGCATTACAAAGGGCGTTTTTAAGGTTTCTAAAGGCGTTGCGAGTGCCTTCATTCCAAATTAAAGGTATTTTGCTGTTTTTGCCACTCCCACTAAGTAATGAGGTTAATGGTTGTTGCAGTTTAGTGAAATTTGGAATGTAACGGTGATAAAAATTAACCATCCCTAAAAACTTGTGAAGACCAGTGGTTGATGTAGGTTCAGGAACTTCGAATAGCTTCAACTTTCATCGAAAGAGGTTTAATTCCTTCAATTGAAATTTCGTGTCCCAAATAATTAAATTTTGATGTACCAAAAACACATTTTGAGGTATTGATGCATAAGCCGTAAACTTTTAAAAACTATGTTTAAATGTTCGTGGTGCGTTTTGTCATTTGGGGAGGCAATCAATATGTCATCTAAATAGTAGAATACAAAGTCTATCCCTGATAAGACCATTATTCATGAATCATTGAAAGGTTTGAGCTGTGTTACGTAAACCAAAAGTCATGAAAGGAAATTCAAACAACCCGAATGGGGTAATAATTGCTGTTTTTGGAATGTCGACCTCATGCACTGGAATTTGTTGAGAAGCTCGAACTAAGTCTATTGAAGAAAACTTTTTCTTTCCGTGTAGAATAGAACCACAGTCTGTGAGAAAAAGTAAAGGTCCGGAATAGTGATATTGTTCAGGGCTCTATAATCTCCACATGGTCTCCAGTCACCCGATTTCTTTAAAGTGAGATAAAGAGGGCTGGCCCAACAACTTTTCGAAGGTCTACAAAGACCTTGTTGCAAAATGAAGTTAAATTCCTCCTTTGCTGCTTTTAATTTTTCTGATGAGAGTCTTCTAGCTCTCGCGGTAACAGGGACTCCATTGGTTTCTATAAAATGTTCAATGTTGTGACTCTTAATTTTGTTATTGATAAGTGTTGGTCGTAATAGGTCAGGAAATCGTTTAAAAACATCTTCGTACTTATTTTGTACTGCATTTAATGTTGGTGTATCAATACGATAACAAGGCATACCAATAGAGGATAGGGATGTAGCGCCACCGATTAGTTTGAGATTTTTACTGTCAACCAAGAGGTAAAAATGAGACAAAAAGTCAATACCTATAATTGGTTTATTAACATCTGCTCTCACAAAAGGTCAATTAAATGCTTGTCTCAGTCACAAATCTAATTTTAACTTTTGTCCATAAGTTTTAATTTTGCTTCCGTTTGCTGCAAACAGCTCTAGTTTGTCAACTGGTCTTTTTTCTGGTGGAAATGTGGGTATCACCGAAATCTCTGCACCTGTATCAATTAAAAAATGGGTGGCAGTTCCTTTGTCCTGCATAAAAAGACGACTCAGTTCAACCCCTTGACTCTTTGTCGTCAGTGAGGGCCGGGGATCTAGTTTTCCTGTGATTGGCGATCTCTCTTGTTAAGCCAATCGCTAGGTTTATTGCATCAGAAAGCTTTTTCGCCAAACTTCGAGTGATAATAACGTGCACTGTGTTTGAAATTACTTCTAGAGCGGGATCTATATCATGGTTGTTCATAGTACTGCCTTATGTTTAGTTCGTTAACTTGTAGTGATAGTTCCGAAATTTTTTCCTGTAGTTTAACTATGACATTGTCATTATCCTGACGCACAATAGAAGCACTTCGAAACAATGTTGTTTTTATTTCCCACATTTTATCAGCCATTGTCACCAATTTTGATAAATCGTCGTAACTAATTGGTAAAATGCTTCTTATTTCTAAGGGCAATCTTTGAAGCTGATTGATTGAATGTAAGATTTAATGGCACAAGGTCCAGAGAGGACATGCTGCGCCAGACACACGGTTTTAAATCTTTGAAGCCAAAGTGTTTTAAGAAATGATTCAGTTACTTTATCAGTCGCCAAATTTTTCCTTTCACATAATAGCTGAGAAGGTTTTTTATCACCCAATTCGACTTCGGTTAACTGCTTTTGAGTTTCCGTGTCTGCGAACAAAGCAATTAGCCTGTATTTAATTGTGGTGTATTTGTCGTCTTGTGGCAGATTCGTCAATATACCCGACACTTGCGATAATATTTCGGCTTTGATGGGGCTTATGACATAATCATATTTTGTTTGATCAATAGTTATTGAAGCGTTTCGGAATTGTGCTTCCAACTGCAAAAACCATATATTTGGATCCAGTTTCCAAAACGGTGGAGGTTTAATACTAATTCTGGCAATGCTCGGTGTAGAAGGACTGCTTTTATCATTTCCGTCGTCGCCTGTCATTTTTGTTTGCTTTGTTCTATAGTCCGGTTGTCACCAATGAAGGGTAAGGAAAAATTAACTTACCTTCTCTTGTATTTGCGCGTAAATAGATAAAAATTGACGTATTAGAAAACACCAGGAAAAAGAACTATATATTTATTTTACATCAGAGAAGAAAAACTAAAAACTATAGAAGTTGCCATTCAGTGGTGCAATAATAAAAATAAAATAATCTAAAAATCAAATTATAGGTGGCGCTGTATTTTGGCACATATTGGCCTCCACTATAAGCGTCACTAACGGTCTTGATAGATCTCTTCTCCCCTTTCTGTTCATTTATGGGTTCACTGCATAAATCACTAGAAGCGAGAAAAGGAAAAAACTTGTCAAAAGACTTGTTTTTTTTTTCTAGTGAGAGGGGAAGATGAAGAGATGCTTATTTTGATTGTTAAAAAGTGTCCGGGAAATCAACCCTTCCGGAAAAGGGACGTTACACTGTATTTTGCTGCAACAAATTATTCAATTAGAAAATGGTTTTTTGCCAACCTAGTGATAAAATACTTAAAGTACTAAGAATGTAGTACTAATTCTTAGTAAGAATAAGACAATGTCAAATTAGAAGCTAACAAGTACACTTTTATAAAGCCAGAAAAAAGATTGGTTGCATCAAGGAGAGCAGTAAATATTATAAGAATAGAAATTTTTTCTTTTCAATTTTGGGCACAGTAAAATAATAAAAACTGGAGACCATACACTTAAGTACTGAGCAAATTTGTAAATACAATAAACAATATCATAAAACATGAAAATATAGTTTGCCATAGAAAAAATATTGAATTTTTACCCCATATTTTAGATACCTATAAATTTCAATTTAGATCCAACAAGAAATGAAAAAAAACATAATAAATGAAAACTTCCATGCTTAGGTCCAAAGAACTCAAAACTTACTTCCTAATATTAACACTGCAAACTGATTTGATTAGAACTGTACACAAAATTTTTGACAAAAACAAAAATACAAGGCACAAAATCGTTGGTACTGCAAATGAGAGGTTGTAAGGGCAACGACATTGATTTGTGTTATTTATTCACAAGCTGTAGGGGTTTGCTAAACAGGTTTTTAAAAGCCAGGCAAATAGATAAAACAAATAATTCGGCAAATTGCAGAAATAAGCACGCTTGGTGATTGTCCACTTTAGTTCTTTTTAATTCCAGACAATTCGGCAAATCTTTTTGTCTAGTGTAAGTAGAAGTGGAATAAAAAAGAAAGAGAATTTCATAGAATGAGGCTGAGAGGAATAAAATTTTGTTTTCAGTGATTTTCCCTGTTTTTCAACACTTTAATTAAATTTAAATTGTTAGTTCTGAAAGATGCAAATCTTTACTATAGATGAAAGTCTGGCACCAATGCACCTGGCCCAGCAAAATAAATATAATTTTTCTCATCTATCAAATTAAAAAATAACTTGAAACAAAACATATAATTTTACTTTTGAAAAGTTATAATTTTCAGTTTTAAAGAATGACAATGAAAATAATAATAAAAATACAATTTATTTCCAATTAATGATGAGAAAATCACCAAACTCTAAATTATCTTTTTTTTCCACTAGTTATTATAATAACATTAATAGAGCTTTTTTGTTATAAATAGAGAATTTATGTTGAAGCATTACTATGGACTAAAAATCAAACATATTTTAATGGAATATTTACTTTGCTGAGAATAATTTCAGGTGCGAGGTATTCTGGTGTTCCACAAAGAGTCCATGTACGCCCTTTCACACGTTTTGCAAAACCAAAGTCAGTAACCTAAAATAAACAAATAGATTTCAAGGGAGAAAAAACAAATAATCAATGAGAAATTAATGCATTTATTTTAGTTTATAAAAGCAATATGAAAAAAATGGGCTTATTGTTGAATAATTATATCTTTAAAATGCATGAATGTCTCTTTTAATCAATATATTTTATCAATGCATAACTTAGAACAGTTCTGTTTATAATTTTAAAAAGTTGTTTGTTATACAAATAAATATAAAAAACAAACACATAACTAATACATGTCTATGCACTGTAGGTTTAATGTTTTGATAGTTACGAAAACAAGAGACGTATTTTGTGTTATAATGACAAATTACCGAACTATTTTCTTATTCTGATATAATACACAAACAGATTCTTATAATAAAGAGTTATTTATTAAACTACACAACGTTTATTTATGTGTTAGAGATTTTAGTGAGTAAAGTTACTAGGACACTTGGTATTACTAACTAATCTAAAAGTTTTAAGTGCATGCATTTGGCAAAAAACTGTCAACAAACAATCTTAGAAACCTATCTTTTAAAAGAAATTAACATGGCACAATGAATGCCATGAAGCAAACAGTTTGGATGAGTATTGGGAATTTATTGCTTTAGCTATTTGGTAGCTTGTAGACAATAAATTAAGGCAAAATTTTTATTTTTGCTGCCAATGTATAAATAAAAAAGTAAATTTAATCAAATTTACTAAAATTTCACTTAAAACTGTCATTTTCTCAGTTTGTCAATTATGATACTATACCAGGGGTGATTATGAGCCAAAGTCAAAAATCCGGAAAATTTCTTGAGTTAAAAAAAAAAAAAAACTTTAAATTGAAAAATCAGAAAAAAATTTAAACAAGTTTTTTTTTCCTTTTTCTCAATATTTCTTAGTTTACTTAAAATATATTTCAAATTTTACACATGCCTATACCATTTACACATACCTATGATGACCCGGAGAAGCAATTAAAATTAACAAATATGTCTTTCTTTCTTGAGTTTATGATTATAACAACTATTTACTGATAAAAAATGAATATTAATCATGAATATAAGCTTATAAAGTATCTCTCTGGCTCTCCCTTACAAACAAATAAAATAAACTGTGTTTTTAGTTCCACCTTTGAAAATTTGATTTCCTGAAACTTCTGTGATCAATGATTTTTTGAAATGTCTGGACTTTTGATCTCCGAAAACTTCCGGATCACATTTAGCAAAAATTCCAGAAATCCGGATTTTTTCCGGAGCACAATCAGCCCTCTATACCACATATCTTCCTAATAGATTGATTTAATAAAAAACTAAACAATCCGCATTTAGAACGGCAATAAGTTGACAATTAGTAGACATTCAAACTAACCAAATCACAAATCAGTGAATAAAACAAGTTTGATAAAGGATGAAACACTTACTTTTATATAACCTTGCTGATCAATCAACAAATTTTCTGGTTTTAAATCCCTGTATATCAGATCCAAATAATGAAGATATTCAAAAGCAAGAACTATTTGTGCAGCATAAAACCTCGAATGAGGTTCACTGTGATAACAAACAACAAGATATGAATAAACAGTAAATTCAATGCAACTTCACTAAAGCACATCAACTAGATTTTTTTCAAAAAGTTAAGAGATGCTTTTAATTATAAAAACAAAAATGTTCCAGACACCAGTTTATTCCTTTTAAATATAATATTTATAAAAAAATATTGATACAATATTTAATATTGGTTCATTCCACGATGCTACATTTTATTAGAAGGTAAAAATTGTTCTCATTTTAATGTCACAAAAATAATTAATATAAATTTCATCAAAATTAGCTCCTTATACATATCTAATAGTCTAATATATTCTAATGATTACATTAGAATTCCTATATATTCTAATGATTTTGTATACATTAATTTTTTTTCAAGCAGGACTCATTATGCGTAACATTTATTAATCAAATCATTTGTTAAGTTACTGGGGTAGATCACTCATTTATGTATAAATTACCATAGCAACCAAAACTAAAAAAAAAAAAAAATATTTAAAATATATATATATTAATAGTTAGAGTGTCAATATTGTATATTTGATAGTTTGTTTGTCATAATATTAACTAATTAAACTGAATATCATAATAGTATTTAGTTAATTAAGAGTAACATGATAACTCAAACTTGAGCAGGCACTAAATAAAAAATTTGAGGGGCATGCATTAATTGAAATTTCCATTTCTTCAACAAATGCCATAGGTGATTATTGGAGAATGAGCTTAATAACAAAGAATTGGGTATACAATGAAAAAAAAGCAAAACTTCAACTATTTTCATTAAAGAACTGATTACCTATTACCTACTTACCAAAAACTGATTACCTGCTTAACAAAAACTGGTTATCTATCTCAGCAATATGTTTTTAGAGATTAAAAATACCCTGGAAAAGTGAGGTTTTATCGTATATCCAATTATCCTAAAACTGCATAGTTTGTCAAGATATTTTCATTGTTTTTTTATTTTTTATTTTTAATAGTATTAGCCATGAATATCACAGAAAGACACAAAAATTCACTTCACTTGTCATTTAAACACCACCACAAGTTACTAACATATTTCTCTTTAAACAGTTATAAATGATGGTTAAATATTATGGAAATTTTGTATTAAAAAAATGGGTGTTATTAATACATGCAAGATACCAGTATCCAAACAAGAAAAAAAAATATGAGTCTCAATTTTTGTTATAAAATTATTGGGAAAAAAATGAAAAATTAGTTAAAATTAATGAAATATAAAACGTTAGAGAAATTTAAATGTTAAAAAAAGTAAAAGGTGCACTAAAATAAACTAAGGGAAAGTATTGAGGAAGATTAAAAAAAAAAAAATTACATTCTACAGGGGGAATAATGGGACACAGAAACAGAAAAGGATTAAGGTGCATGCGCCCATTCCCAAAAATGGCATACACCTTACCTAAACCTTCCACTCTTTCGAAGATGAGAAAACATTTCTCCACCTGGCACATATTCTAATACCATATATAAGTTTGAAAAATCCTGCCAAGAAACAAAATAAGTCATTAATGTAAGAGCAAAATATCCAAAAGTTCTCACCTGAATCGACCGACTCTCCGAAGATGAGAAAACATTTCGCCACCAGGTACATATTCTAATACCATATACAAATTGGAAGTATCCTGAAATTCAGAAGTATTATCTAATATTTTAAGGTAAACACTGTGATGCAAAATACTCCAACACATTTTAAAAATTAATACAAAACCAATGGCGGATAAGAGCACAATACTTGTAAAGTTTAACCAAATAACTATAATGCTTTGATTTTTGGAAATTGAGATTGAAAAGAATTATTCCAAAGTAAAATTTAAGATAATTAATTGAGTATTTTCAATTTATAGTAAAACATAGTAATTTTACCTAACTATTTTTTTTAAATGTCATTTGTACCACATTTAATGTTGAGTCATAAAAATTGAAATCAGAAAGAGAATATAAATAATGTTTGGGAAAGAAATAATTTGAAGTCAGAATAGTCAATTCTATCCCCCCCCCTCTTTTATTTTAAATAAAACTACTTCTGCTTCACAAAATTGTTTTATTAAAAAAAAGGTAATTCCTTTAAGGTTAAAAAGAGTAACCCATGTTTTGGTCCCAGATTTCTCTGAAGCCTGTGGCCTTTCCTACAATACAATTTAAGTGACATAAAGAACAGTTTATATAAAAATATTTAATTTTTAAGAAAGAAGAAGAGTTAAAAACTGTAGAGGAAGCTACTTTGTCACAATATAAGCTACGCTATATTATTGAAATATTTTTTGTTCACTTGTTTCTTTTTGAAGATACATATTCTAAAAATGCTTACAGTCACTGGAAAAAATTAAAAGATGCAGATAGTTATTTTTAAACATAATTAATTAGATAAGAACACAATATATACAGGGGATCAAATACAAGGTAAAGCATAAGTATTATTAGTCATGTAGCATGAATAGTAACTGTTTAAATTGATTTACTTCTTTATGGTCAGGAGGGAAATCAAAATTCACAAAACTGAAAATCTTTTTATGAATTTGTTAATTGTAACTTAGTTACAGTAACTGAACCAATCATCCTGAATACAATTAACAGGGGTAGCAGCAAATTTTTTTTTTAAAATTTCAGGGTAATTTTAGGAACTTTTTCAAAAATTTTAGGGGTTATACATGATTTTGCTAGGATAAAAACAGATCACACCATAGTTTATTACATAACAGAAGATTATTCTTATTCATCTATACATATCATAAATAATTGCAAGCCATAAAATAAATTTCTGAAATTTATTATGTCAAGAATGAAATCTCTAAAGTGAAGTGTAAAAATGAAGTTCCAACTTTCCATATTACCTATCAAAAATTAAGTGCTTAATTCAGGAACAGGCAAAAGTGAGAATAAATCAAGAGAAAAAATAACACCAACTTGAAAAAATTAAATATATTTTATTAAATCCAAAACAATTTGTAAACTAAAATGTAACGCCAAATAAAAAATTAAGGAATATTTGACTAAAACATTACAAACTTAAAATTATTATAAGTGATATATACATGTATTAAAAAAATTCACAATTTCATTTCCTTCCTATCCTTATCAGATCAGATTAAGTAAACAGAAAATGAATTAATCATTTATGAAGTAAAAATATGCCAAATAAAAACTGCATCAACTTAAATATTAAAAAAAATAATACTGTCTCGAATTGTGTATACAGTGGGTGATCGGTTAACGAACTGATCGGTCAACGAACAAATCGGTTAACGAGCACTTTCACGAAAGATTTTTGTGTTCGGATAACGAACACATATTCGGATAATGAACAAAACGAATTCTAACGAACACTTCTCGGCCTGAAAAAAAAATAATATTAAACATTTGTTATAATTTTGCATACAAAATAAGATCAATACACACTTGAATACTTCAATTTCAGTATGAATATCAATATTTTCTGACAGCAAATAAGTTATGGGCGAGTGGATTTGCTGACATGGCGAATAAATTAAGCGAATTCTTAATTTTTTCGAACAGTGCAGACTATAAAATATAAAGGTGCCAATGACGCGCTACCACCGTAAAAATACGTGAAATATGAGAAACGGACTAAAAATCGTTTTTCATCTCTCTTGAATTATGTTGCTTACCTATTAATTTTCAAAGTTCTTTGGAAAAAAAAAATTCCAATAGAATATTCATACAAATTAGACCATCAGTTTCGGTTTTAATTTCATTCAAAGCAGAAAAATATTTCGTTTTGAGCGCTTTCCCCCCTCGTTCCTTCGCCGCCCCATTCATTGTCTTGAATTGCCAGACGGCAAACTCCTTTCCAAATATAGTCAATCGCCTTTTAGTCGCCACTGGCAACCCTGAATGTGGTAATAACACACGTGCGGTGCTAGTGTGCGTCGAAACTTTGTCAATTGTGTACACTAGTTGGTTCCTGTTCCTCTGAAATTTTCGTGTGTGCTTTTCTGAACCCCTTATAAAAAAACTGAAAATCTGACAATTTTATGGGTCCCAAAAAGCATGGAGTGTCAAGAACTGTGCTCACTTTAAACACCAAGCGAGAAATGATAGCCAAAGTTGAGAGTGGACAGAAACTGACTGATGTTGCGAAACAGTATGGCTTGAACAGGTCTACAGTATGCACAACATCAGCTAAGAAAGATATCATCAAGAAGACTCAAGCAGCTGAAGGAGTAACGAAAATCACATCTGCGAAGCAAAGAAGTGCCATCCATGATATAATGGAGAGGTTGCTTTTAGTTTGTATAAATGAACGGGAAATGAAACGAGATGTAACTACTACGCCTATCATTCAAGAGAAGGCTAGAGAAATTTTTGAGAAATTGAAAGAACAAACTCCAGGTTCGTCATCCGAGAAAAGGTCTGGAATTAAACATGTATTAATGCATGGTGAGTCTGCTAGTGCAGATAAAGAAGCAGCTGAGAAGTACTGTCTCAAATTTCAAGAATTCATTGAAACAAAAGGGTATCGTCCACAACAAATATTTAATTGTGATGAAACTGGTTTGTTTTGGAAGCGCATGCCGAACCGTACCTACATCACGAAAGATGAGAAAAATGCTCCTGGGCATAAACCTATGAAAGACCGATTGACGTTACTTTTGGGAGAATTAATTACGAATTAATCGATTTCACATAAAAGTCTATGGTGATTCAATGATCGGTTAACGAACAATTCGGATAGCGAATATAGTCTTGGAACGGATTAAGTTCGTTAACCGATCACCCACTGTACTTGAAACAATTCAAATTCTCATATCTCTGATATTTATAAGTATAATTAAGGTACACAGAAAAGTTTCCAAAATCATTTATAAAAAAATAAATTTAATGTTAGATAAAATTGAAGGAAATCAGGATAAAAATATTGCTAACTAAAGTTACATATGCTGTAAACAATTCACTTTCTCATCCTCTGCGATGTTTATATAAACAATAAAAGTATAAAAAAAATAGTTCAAAAAATCAGAACAAATAATCTGCATACCTTTATAAATTAAAATTCTATTGATTCTATAATAATTAAAACAAAAAGAACCTTCCTCTCTAAAATAGAATACTTTTTTATTTGATAAAGAAAAGCTTTAATTTTTACCTTCTTAATCAAAACTTTATTATTACCCTTTACCTTACTAAAAAAAACAAACTACTGTTTGATATTATTAGATTTCAAATCAGCAATTTATATTAGAAGTTAGAGGAAAACAAATTAGTATGATCATTTAATTTTGAGTCTCTTTGACAAAAGTTGGTCTCTTCCAGTTTCAAAAACAGTTAACTTCGATTCTAATTTTGTTAGCTGATCAGAGTTCCTTCAGATATAAAGTTTTGTGCAACAGTCACAATGTTTTGCATTGCTGCAGCTTTTTTGAACCTTTTCGTTCCTTCTTTTATGAGACCTAAAGCTAATTCTTCATTTATTTTTTCTCTCAATTCATTGATTTTTTCATTATTTTCGCTAATCTGCAAATCAAAATAATTTTTTCTTTTTCTATTTTCTTCCTTTTCCAGCTTTTGCTTTGCAATTTTTTCAATTTCTTTTTTATGCTTATTTTCAGCTTCTTTTAATTTGCTAATATACTCTTGATATGATTTGTGAGATTCCTTTACTGCCCTCTATAGTGTTGTTGTAATAGGCACCTTCAACACTCCTCCATAATTTCGAATGGTATCTTTGATTGGTCTAAGAGCACAATAGTATTCTCATGGTGACTCACATTAAGCATTGCTCTATTTATCGAAAAACCTCTCCCAGGATCAGAATTCCCATGTGGCAAAATAAAAAGTTTTGATTAACGTAGTTAAATTTTTTTATTTTAAATTATTGCTTTCGTCTTTCAAAAGAAACAATTCTCTCCAATATCCATCTACTCGCTTTACTTCAGATAAATCCGATAATTTTTCATGGGCAGTCACGTCAAAAATAAGAAGTTTCCATTCTTCCCTGACATTATCAATAAATTCATTGGAAAAGTTTAAATAATGAGCTATTCTTGTAATTACATGGAAACCTTTTGAGTTATCATTTGATTCAACTCTTGGCTGAAAAATTTCTAAATCTTTAAAAAACTGGTCAAAAAAAGGTACATTTGATTTCAAATAATTAACTGTTTTAATCAATGCAGAATGAGCATTCAGGAGAAAATTATTCTTTCACTTTGTGCTAATTTAATTTTTAAAAAAAATTTTTTTTTTGCTAACATACCTATTTTGATCAAAAACTATTTCTTCCAATTTTTACCATTATTAATTTCAATGTTCCTTAAATCTGTGTTTTCCTTAGCTGCAACAATATCATCTTTCATGAATTGCATGATAACTTGTCTGATTAGCTTATTCATTCCACTAAACAGCAAGTTTATTTTAGGGGATTCACTTTGAAACCATAAAGAAAAGGTTTCGAAGTGCTTATGGTTATAAGTAGGGTTGCAAGTTTGTCGCGTAAGAAAGTGCAGCGAAAAATGGTGGCACTGGGGAGCGAATCACGTAAATTTTACTCGGCAGTTAAGGGGTTAATAAAGTGATCAATCAAAACATTAAATTGATATTGCAAATTTAAATTGAAACCTTGATACCTCTTTTTTCCCCACAAAATAACTGTACTGGAAATTCTTAAAACAACAGATCCAGTGTGAGAATTATGAAGTCTTAAGGCTACAGTAGACGTTCAAAAAATTTTTTTTTAGTTTTTATGCTACACTAAAACTTTTTTTATAACTTATGTATTCTATCAAGATATGCCCTTGCAAAAATTTTTGTAAAAAATATTTGGACCATTTTTGAGAAATTTAAAATTTTTTAAAAAAAATTTCATCAATTTTAAAATGCTCCCAGCGGCTTAAATTAAAATTTTTATTTATTTTTTTTTAATATTCTTTTTTTAGAGATAAATGTTAAAAGCTTTATGCATTATATAGGAATTTTCCTAAATTTATTTTAAATTTATGACCAAAAAACAAATTTTATGTAGATTTTTGTTTCAAAATAAAGGTCGTTAGGTACATGAAACCCGATAACTCTTTTATTACTTGTTATAAAACAGAAACAAATGCATAAACTTAATCTAATATACATATAAATAACTAGAAAAAAATTTCATCTCAATAGGATGAAAACAAAGTCGACTGGAACATTTTGAATACGTGAAACATAACAAAATTTCAATTTTGAGAAAAAAAGCTTTTTGTGTAAGAAAAGGGGCGTGGCTTCATAATGTGAAAACGAAACTACCCTATAACTTCTCAAAAAATGACGAAATTTAAAAAAAAAAATTCAGTTGAAAAAGCAATGAAACAAGTGTCTAAATATGTCAAAAAAAAAACCGAAATTTTTATCAATTTTTGGCAATATAAAGGACCACTGTAGCCTTAAACACTTGTTCCGTTCTTGACTGCCCTAAACACATAAGAAAAACTTTATTAAATTAGTGAATCATCACTAAGCTGAAGAAGTATAGTACTTATTTATAAATAGAATAGTGAACTAACATTATTGGCTTTTTGGTGGTGAAAACTATGATGAGCTATCAGTGGAGGAAAAAGTGGGGGAAGGGGAAATATTGTTTTTTGGGGGCATCAGGGGATGAAGTCCTGAAAATGATTTTTATGATAAAATATTTTAAATATTTTAGGACCCAAAAAAAGTTTTACAATTTAAGATAAATATAATTAGTTAACAGAGCATAAATTTGCATAGTTTAAATGAAAATGTAATTTATTATACAGGGTGAGTAGCCAGTTTTTCAATCAAAAAATAAGCACCTTTTAAGTACTTTTCATGCACTCAAAAAATATTTTTAATCACCTTCCAAAAAAAATCATTATTAGGATCTGTGCAGTAATAAAAGTTATTTTTTCTATCATTTAAAGTACTTAATTTATAAACATGAAACCAATAAGATTCAATAACATTTTCAAAAACTTAACATAATCATGATGATATAGCTAGTTTCTGATAAATTTTGCACAGAAAATTGTGAAACTAATGCAATTTTTGTAATTTAGAACAACAATCGATATGGCAAAGAAAAAATCTGCCTTTAAAAGATAAAAAATTAAGCATTTTTAACAAACACCGAATAAAAAAGGCATCTTTAAGCGCTTTTAAAAAAAGTAAATAAAAAATAAGCACATTTAAGCACTTTTTAAAAATGCTACGCAACCTGTAATACATAATAGGCATTAAAATATGATTTAATCATAAACAGATATTCAGTCAAATTGATTTCAAACTTATAATATAAATAAAGAAAGAAGATTCTATAATATTCAATAATACCGACTGATAATTTAACATAGTTCGATATTAATCAATTGAAATAGCTAATTAATAAATATGTATATTGATTCGAACCAACAATATTAAAGAAAAGAAATAAATCAAATAACTCTCAATAATAAAAAATCATTTAGCAGAATGAATTGCTTTCTTGATATTATACATTGTTATTATAGGCAGAATTTAAAGAAATTCATAACAAATATTTCTTTTTTCCTTTGAATTCTCAACAAAAAAGAAATAATCAAAAGTATTTTACAATCCATAGCTTTAAAACATAGTATACAAAGCTCAATCAAATTATTTCTTTTTTTTTTTTCTTTTCACTTTTCCAATTACAGTTAAGAAAAATTGATGCAAAGGGATGAGGTTTAAATATACCACACCTCAGGGATGTGATTGACAAAAACACAAAAAAGAGGAAGTTTATAACTATAGCATTAAACATGCAAAAGAAAAAATGATATGAATTCAATAGCCAATCTGATAATGATTACATTATTATCTATTCAAATAAATATAAATAAATGGTAATTATGTTCTTAAATAAAATCTTGATTAAAATAATTTTTTTTTAATAATTTAGATAACTTTGAGTAATTATGCATAAGCAGGATTTTATGTATCACATCATTTTAAAAAACATTTCTTTAATGGTCAAAGGACCTTTATGGACTTTCTCATCAGTTCTTTGTTTTTTCGATGGTCTTTTATTAACATGACTGATCTGTAGACTGCGTTTTGCAGACTTTTGATCATCAGTGTTGATAGGACAAGAAAGTTCATTTCTCACACAATTTTTAGAGGCCTTAGATTAAGAATCGCGATGTTGGATTTCAAAATCGCGTGAATAAGAATCGCGATGCTTGATTTTAAAATCGCGTGAAAAAGAATCGCGATGCCGGATTTTAAAATCGCGTGAATAAGGCGATATCGGATTTTAAAATTGCGATGTTGGATTTTAAGATTGCGTGAATAAGAATCGCGATGTTCGATTTTAAAATAGGGTGAATAAGAATCGCGATGTTGGATTTTTAGAGTGTGTGAATAAGAATCGCGATGTTCGATTTTAAAATAGGATGAATAAGAATCGCGATGTTGGATTTTAAAATCGCGTGAATAAGAACCACAATGTTTGATTTTAAAATTGCATGAATAAGAATTGCGATGTTCAATATTAAAATAGCGTGAATAAGAATCACGATATTGAATTTTAAAATCAAGTGAATAAGAATCACGATATTGGATTTTAAAAGCACGAAAATACAAATCGCGGTATTGAATTTTTAAATCGCGTAAATAAGAATCACGATGCATAATTTTTAGAGTCCGTGAATACTTATCGCAACGAGTAATGTTTAAACCGCGTATAAATACGAAAATCGATGTTTGATATTACAACCGCGTGATAACAAATCGCAATATTGAAATTTAAAAATATATATGAATACGAATCGCGACATTGGATTTTAAACTAGCGGGAATATGAATCGTGATATTGGGTTTTAAAAACGTTTAAATACAAATCGCGATATTGAATTTTTAAATTGCGTGAATGGGAATTGCGAGTAATAATTTTTAAATCGTGTAAAAACGAATCAACAAGTAACTTTTAAATCAGTAAAATGCGAAAATCGATGATTTACATAAAAATCATCTAAATAAGAATCGCAATTTTAGCAGATTCTGGCCCAGTTCCTAACATTTAAAATTCTGTAAATCAGCCAATCAAAAGAAATCAAATATCAGCGAACGAAACTACTTAAGACTTAATTTTTTTCCCTTCCAAACTATAGCGGAAGTCGGGGTTGTCAAGGCAACGGCGTACATGCCGAAATTCTACTCATTTTCTTCTGAAGATCATTTTCTCAGGAGGCTACTGCAGGGGGGGGGGAGTTCATCGCAAGTCCGACTATATCATCCGTTCATTCGACTCCCCAAAAGTTTTTGGAACATGGTCGGAAATTTTAAAAAAGTCTTTCATCCCTGAAAAGATAAGAGAGTAGTGGAGTAGGAGACGGCATTGTTTTACCCCAGCCAGCAGATTGACATGAGAAGAAAGGTTTATTGGGGGCTTCAATATTTTCGCTCCGCAGAAGAAAAAAATTTTCAACAAAATGTCATTTACTGCAGAAAATTTTTTTCCGCACCGAAATTTATGAAAAAAGAGCGGAAGATATGGAAAAATCTGAAAAAAGCGGATCCGTGGAAGAATCACCTCCCTGACACCTACATATGACTTAAAATTTTACAATTAATGACTTTTAAACTGAAATTAATCATTAATTCCAGATAGGCCAGAAAAGATAGAGATGATAAAGATAGGCCAGAAAAAATCTGAAAGAACAAAAGTTAAGTTGTCTTAGGAGTACATATTTATACATTATTAGTATTTTTATAATTTTAAATCTTAGGTATAAAGTGATAATTAATGATATGTGAAATAGTTAAAATTTTAGCTTTCATTTAAGAAAAATAACGATTGCAATGAAGCTTATAAAGTTAGATATGAAAACTTACCTTAAAATGATAATCTAATTTTACAAGAAAAGGAAAACTAACTGCTTGCAGAATTTTTTTCTCATTTAAGGTGTGTTCTACTTGTTTTAGCTTCACAACCTAAAAAAATATAATCACAAGAATTAACTGCTTGATCTTGAGTGATTAAAAATGTCAAATTTCAGTTAGGTGTTCTGTTTATAAAGCTAGAGCAAGAAAAAAAATCAAGTGAATGGTAAGTTGTTTTCTTTAAAATTCAATGAATTAATTATACAAAATTTTGTGAGTTTTGAGGACAAAGATAAATATCAGTCCATAACATTAAAACTGAAGAATAAGAAGAGTTGTAAGTTGCTTGCATGATTTAAGATCGTGGTATAATAGAAACAAACACAAAATTTATTAGTATGCCTATGATAGCAAAAAAAGACACTAAAACAAAAGTATTTCAGAAAAGTGCTTAGTGAGAAAAGTTTAAATCCCTGATATTGATAGTTGTAATAATTTCTTTTTTTTCTTTAAATTGCGGAAACTTCAAAAAATTAATTAACTAATGCCATTATCAAAATTTTAAGCAATTTGGCAGGAATTAAGGTGGCAATGATTTTACTAATGCGTGAATACAGTAATACTTATGTTTACTCAGTATTACAAAACTTTAAGCAAATGATTTGGCTGAGAAAATGAACAAATTTTTATAGTGATATCAGGAAAGGTGATGAACTTGAGAAGTGCAACAGTACAACACAACATAAATTTATTTCTAACTTTCAAAGTTCTAAAAAGGCTTGAAGTAGAAATAAACTTAGGAAGTAAATAAAATCCAATTTTTAAAATATGGCATTAGGCTTGTTTGTAAATCTATAAAAATATTCTTTTTTTACATCAATGAAAAGAAAAAATACATATGCAGTCTTAGTAGTGGTTTGTATTAATTTCGACTATAAATTAATTAAATATAAAATATTAACCTACTTTCTGTTTATCAAGAATTTTCATTGCAAAGTAGTCTTTAGATGATTTGTGCTGTACAAGCATTACTCGACCAAAGGAACCGGTTCCTAATGTTTTGATTCGATCAAAATCTTCTAAACTGGCAGTATTCTAAGGAGAGAAAAAAACAAATTATACTTTTATACATTAAATAAGAGTCAAAGTTTTATACAATTAAAGGAAATAAAATATTTCAACAGTTTTATTCCAACATAATGAAAATCCATAAAAGAAAACTGATTTACCATAGTAACATAATATAAATAACATACAAAGCTTACTCAAGAAATAAAAATTGTTCTGCCTCAACATTTAAAAAAATAGGTTTCTTGAGAAGTATAAAATTTAATTTGAAAAAATTAATAAATGAACAAAAGATAGTGTTTCTACTGGTCCAAGATCATTAAATCTCCCTTGAACTACTATAAAATAATAATCACCAGTCAGTGGGACAACCAAAGCGCCTGTCATCAATCGATTGAAGAACGGCAGCAAGTTAAATCAGTTGGAATAGTATGATAACGGTAGAAGTGCAATGGAATATTTCCCTGTAGCACTTTTGTGACAAATCTTTGTAATTTTTTATTTTTGAAGGTTTATATTTATCATAGAACAATTTAATTAATTAAAAAAAAAAACTTGATGATACATTGAATATAAAAAAAAGGATATTCTGTATGAGAAAAAATAAGTAAATTTAAGTACTTCAGAACCAGTAGCTGAAAATTACAAATGGCTTACAGTTTGAAGCGGGAAATAAAATATATTGTACAATATGCATAATTACTTTAATGGTGTGTATTTTTCTGAATTTTGCTTGGATAATAGCTGTTATTTTGAGCATTTTTTTTTAAATACAAGACCAATCTAGTATTTTATTCAATTGTTCAATCAATATGATATAAATAATCAAGTTTCAGTCAAAAACTAATAAATATGATGTTATGATGAAGCATTAAAATGATTTCAAGTGACGCACAAATAAATTTAACGTTAAATTTCAAGTGGACCAGACTTTTTTTAAAAAAAATAATAAATTTCTAAGGCTGGTAGTAAGTGCAACAAATCGGAAGACCAACGTTTATTGCAATGGTCACAAGTTAGTGCAACTGAGGTGACAAGAATCCATTAATTAAAAATTGCATTATATTTTAGAAAATTAACCAAAAGTATACTCTCGTTCAAAAAAGATAGTAATGTTTTTGGCTACAATTTTAAGACTATGACTGCACATCTTCATTTTAACAATTTCACTCTAGTATACACACATACGCATTCATTTTCACTCCAATTTGGAGTATAGGGCTTCTATCATAGCTTTCCATCTCACTCCAGTTAAGGCCAAATATTTTGTCTTTCTCCATGTCTTAGCAATTGCTTTCAATTTGCTTACAATCATTCTGCTCCAAGTATTTTTTAGGTCTTTCTCTTTTTCTATTGCCCTGAAAGTTTCAATCAAAAACTTCGTTCATTTTAAATTTTTTAGGTTACGAAGAGCAAGTTCCATTTAAGTTTCTTAATTTCCAGATCAAGTGGTTTTATTTTGCTTTTTTAAGGATTTCAGCAATTTTAATGTTATGAAACCCCTTAATACACAAGATTCTTCTTAAACAACTGTTAATGAATTTTTTTTCATGTTATTTTTATTACAGTGCCATGTTTCTGATCCATATAGTAGGACAGATTTAGCATTAGTATTGAAAATTCTAATTTTTGTTGAATTGTTTTTCCAACAGCTGTTCCTTTGTTGTTAATTATACTTCCAAGATACATAAAACAGCTTACCTCATCTAGTTTATTGTTTTCTAAGAATCTGACATTTGTTTAGGATAAATTTTCAAAACTTCAGTTTTATTTTGGTTGATAATAAGCCCCATTTTCTTTGTCTCTACATTTAAAATGTACGTGTTTGTTTGCATGTCTTGAAGGGTGTTGGCCAGTAAGTATAAGTAGGGCTGCAGGTTTGTCGCGGAGCGAATTTCCGCGAAATTGTCATCTTTTTCCCTAAAATCCGCGAATTTACAATACGCTGTACCAAAATTTTGTTCATTTAAATAAAAGTATTAATATTGCTTGAAATTCAAAGAAATACTTTTGTTGTGTATTTTTAAGCCTTTTTTATTATTTGTGCAATTTCTGTCTTTTGCATCATTTATATAATAAATTTTTTTTATGTTTAGAATTTGTGTAATTTTCAAAATTTCCCGCGATTTTTCCGCGAATTTGGAGTCTTTTTTCCCGCGACAAACTTGCAGCCCTAAGTATAAGTCATCTGCAAAATCAAGATTAGATTATTCAGCAAGGTTCCATCTTCACCCCGTTTATTCTCTGATACTCTTTTCATAATCCAGTCGATAGAAATAAAAAGATTGTTGGAGAAAGTACACAACCTCGTCTAACACCAGAATCAATCTTGAAAGATTATGACAGTTGGCAGGCATGGGTAACTCATATATTGTAATTTATACATAAATTAAATAAGTATACAGGAGTTAAAGGATATGTGGTTGATCATGCATGATTTGGCATGCATTTTCTTCAAATGAGTAATCAGATGTCACTTTCATCCAACAATTATAAATCAGCACATTATAGAGAAATAGTAGAACCTTACACTAGTGTAAAATTCTTGCTATATTGACTAAAACTACAACACATTGCTATATTGACTAAAGACTTTTACTTCTCAGGAATGTCAGGACTTTTACGATCTTTAAATATCATCAATAATATCTCTAAATATCAATAATCATGCTGAATTCATTTTTTTTTTACCTTACACACATGCACTTCTAGTTTTTTGAATCATCATATGTGTTGAATAAAAACGCATGATAAAAGTAAAAATATTAGAGTCAATGTATATTAATCGATTTACATGAAATATATATGGACAGAAATTGTTTGATCATTATAGCCAAATAGCAAATATAAAGGAATTATTAAAGCACTGCAGCAATAGATTAAAAAAAAAAACTTGTTAAGAGCCAATTTTCCTCTTTTACGCATAAAGAAAATGGGTAATTGGGTTTTAAAAAAATTAAGAAGGAAAGAGATTATTCAATGCTCACAAACAAAAACAAAAAATTTAACATTAATTTGAAGTATTATATTGGTTACTTACTTTACTTGGATTGTTCCACTTTTCTTCAAAATCCTTCTTTGCTTCTTCTAGAAACATTTGTACTGGAAAAATAAAACAAAAACAAATTTATAATCAAGTAAATTATAAGCAGAACAGTTGAACACCATCAGTTTGTTTAATACTTCTTAACATGAATCTATCTAAATTCACTTACAACAATGATAACTCAAATCTAAAATTCTTAAGCTTTATTTAATTTAGTACACAGGGTGAGTCCAAAAAGTAATGTCACTGGTTTCATTGTGAAGCTTATACACATAGGTAGGAGACAAAGATGTGAAGGAGATCAAAAATCTTCACCAATGAAAATGCAACATGTGCAACTAGATTTTTTTTAAAACTCAGACTATGGTTTGGGCGTTTAATGGAACAGATAATAAAAAAGTCTCAGTCAGACATCATAGGTAATTGTAAAACTTCACTATTACAACAGACCTCGTCACTCTGCCTTCTTTGTTTCCTGCTTTCTTACCGATTTAAAGATGTCAATGGTTCTCCAGCAGCCTAAAAGTTCTGACACGGTTCCCACAGATTTCTTGTTATAACACTTGAAAACTCTGATGAAAGAATATAATTTTAGGACTAATGAAAAAGACAGAAGGTTTGTACTTAAATTCTAAAGAACGTTCTAGAAAAAGGTTGATTGTGAAGCATTTGATGCCTGGAGATCTCACTGGAAGCTATTTACAAATGCACATGGAGATTAAGACTTTTTAATGTGTTGTACGGGGCCGGGATAGCCTAGTCGGTAGGGCGCTGGGCCCATATCCGAGAGTTCGAACCCTGCCTGCCGAAGACTCCCCGTGTTGTAAAGTGACTGATGCACGTTAAATCTGTTGAGTCGCAAAAGTCCTCCGTGTTCCCATAACAAATCAATACTTCTGGGGGTACTGGATTGGAGATCGATTGTTTTCTGATTCAGGTCGAAATTACGATCTGTGGATGTATGAACGGGTCCGCCCTATAAACGGATGCGACGTATGGCAGAAGTTGAATTCTTGGCTATAGATGGCGCCACTGGAAAACAAGAACAATCGCACCCCCTGCNAAAAAAAATGGGTGAGAATTTCTCACCCTTTCTCAAAAACAGGGTGAGATTTCAAAAAGTTAAGTGAGATTTCTAAAAACTAAAAAAACACAAAAACTCTTAAAAAAATCATTTCGTTAATTATAATACATTTTTTAACGTCTTCTATTTTTTAAAGCATTGAATATTTTTGGTGCATCATCATAGAAGATTTTGCCTTTACAAGGTATTTGTCCATCTTACATTAGCACATAAAAATTTTGAACGTCTCACATGAAGAAACCTTACCTATGGTAAACACGTGGTTACAGAGAAATGCGTTCTGAAAGGGATTCCGTGGTTGAGTTCTGTTGTTCGAAAAGGTTCTGAACAATGCTGGTAAATAGGGAAGCTAGATAACGGGGCAGATGTTGAAAATAATGAAAGATCCAGGAAGAAAAGTGAAACGAATTTAATTCTAAATGGCGCAATTCAAAGTTTTTTTCGAAATGTGAGAATTTTGAAATAGATTTTATAGAATGCGCGAATTTCTAGTGGTAATAATTTTTTAATGCGAGAAAAGAAAACAATATGCAAGATTCTCGCGCTGTAGTGAAAACACTGGTCAACAACAACGTGTAGTACAGATTGGAACAATAGATATTTTCAAATCTAGTCGGTGACATTACTTTTGGACCCATGTATCTTAATTTTAACAAGGTTTCACTTTTCATGGAGATGACTGAATGTTTGTTAAATACTATTAGTTTTGAAATTATAAATGAAGACACATGAAGAATATGGAGTCTCTACTTCTGCCCAATTATCAAAATAATACTCAGTAAAATCTATTATATTACACTTCGTTATCAAAGATTGAAGGGCAGACTATGTATTCGTGCAAATCTTACTTTTGAAATTAAAACTTATGAAAATATAAGGGTTGAATTTGATATTTGCTTTTATCACACTGTCAAAAACCTATCATAAGTAAACACAAGTTACGAAATTATCAAAAAACATAAATTTTTGCTAATTGTAAATATCTAATAAAAACATGAACCTTTTGATTCAGTAATTGGCTTTTTACTCCATAAGTTTCAATTTTTATAGTTTAGTGCTAATAGTGCCATATAGTATTTTTTTAAAATTACTAATTGCTTAAAATTCCAACCACTTTTAGTCATCATAGTTTATTAAATTCTATTTAAGAAAAAATATTTAGCCCTAACAAATCAAATTTTGACAGAGGAACACAATCCAGATTTCTATTTCAATGTGTGCTAATATAACTTCAACATGATCATAGAAATTTTTTTTTTATGTTAAAACATAATGGTTCTTTTCAGGATGTATTCCTTTATGATGGTAAACATTACTTTTTACGAATATATATAAGCAAACACACATATTAGAGCTCGAAAGCGGTAAAAATATTTTAACCAAAGTACAAACAGCAACCATGCGTCTTCATTCTGTTTGGAATGAACTCTGCTGCTGCTTATATCGCTCTTGCTCTTTACCTGTTTCTATCTTTACTATGCTAAAGTAAATAATTGACTTATTATTTATAAGATAAGAAAATTTATTTCAGTTAAAGATAATAATTTAATCAATGGGTCAGTTCTCTGGCACAGAGTTTTTGGAGTCCGCTTAAAACGGCTCTGATGATGCTGTTCAAAAACAAACATTTAATTGGTTTTCATCTTAAGAAAAGAGTGGAGATATTCTTTCCTTTTCTTTTTGTTATAAATAGACAATTTTATGAGGAATTCAAATGTTTTGAAAACAAACTTTATTTTAATGCAAAATGTTTTCAACGTTGCACTGACAATATTTTTTGGCATACTTTATTATCGAAATAAAAATTCATATAAAACAATCAAACCATATTCAGTAAGAATGTTTTCTAAGTTTGTAAAAATTGTTGAGTTGTATTTTATTATTCTTTAAGATTTTAACTTGTTTTTTGCAGGTTTCTGAAAGATATCTTTAAAATATTGATAAAAAATTTGTATTAAAGAATAATGACATGAGAAAATTATGAATTGTATCAATCAAAAATTCAACACTAAATGACTAACAATCATTAACGGTAAACTTTTCAAAAGTGGAAGAAATTTGGAGTGGCTCCAAAAACGATGTCTTGGAACAGACCCACTGTTAATAAATTAAAAAGAAAGTTGAGAAAGAAATTTAACCAATGTAAGGAAGAAAACAGTGTAATCGATTTGAAAATAAAGTATTAAAAATACTTATATATGTAAGAGAGAAAAAAACATGCTACACTGATTTAATTATTTACTAACTACAAATCGTTTTTTTTTAACCGAATTTATAGATGAAGCTATACAGTTCATTGTCAAAATATTGTCTTATGCCATATTTCAATAAAAAAGAAAAATTATAAGTCTAGTTAAGTTGTTGAGACTCTATGTGTTAGGCAATTGCTATTTTACAAAGTCTACTTCACCCCTTGAGAGAAAATGAAGTTTATTATTTTTATTTTGGCTTTGTTTCTTACTGATAAATTTTGCCCCTATTTCTCTTTTTACTATATATATATGATTAGAACATCAATAAATTAACATCAATATAATAGGAAAGTCTATTTGAAGAGAGGTGTATTGAGCACACTGCTGGCAGCAGCCTCTTGCTAACATTAAATAATAGAGATAGTAATTATTAACAATGTATTTCAATACAATTTCCTATAATATAAAAAAATGTATTGCATATTACATTTCATAACACTTTATACTGAAGAATTTCCCATGAATTATGCCCAATATTGATAGAACGAGAAAAATATATCTGTTTCCACTATACAAATAAAATCGTAAAAAAATATTTTATAGTGACTTGTTTTATGTATATTAAGTTATAGATAAAGTTAAATAATTAAGTAAAGAAATTTTCTTTTAGGATAAGTTTATATATGTAACTATCAAAAACTTACTTTACAGAAAAATTTATAGGATATAACAACTAGTAACAAAAATGCTTAGTACATTAAATATAATATGATAAAAGTAATTTAAATTAAGAAATATTTCTCAACTCAGTAAAACTATAAAGATAGAAAAAAGGAAATATAATTTTTTTTTTTAATTCCATCCTTAAATATACCTTAATAGTAGAATCAAAATCACTTTTGAATTCAAGCTCAAAGTTTTTTACTATAAAATAAGGTGTATTTAATTTCAACAGTTACAAAAATCTTGTTATTAGAGTATATTTGACATGGAGCAAGCATGCTTTACAGTTCTTACAACAATTTTGGGACTACCTACCTTATGTATCTTTTATTATTGAGACACTATTACAAAGCACTTCATAACACTATTCAGGATGACATGACGGTGGGAAGATATGGTATCCAAGATATTTTAATATTATCAAAGCGTAAATGAGCTTTTCTTTTTAAAACATATATATATTTTTATGTAAAATAAACACATAGTAGTGTCTTGATTAAATTTATAAATTAGGTGAAATGAATAGTATGAAGGATTTGTTAATTACTTGAACAAAAGTTGGTTTTATTGATGCAAAAACAAACCAAAACATTAAGATAAATAGCATCCTTTAAATTATATAAATCACATGGATATATATAATATATAGCTCCAAAAAAAGCAAATTTTTACATGTTGCCACATTTTCCTGTTACTATATGACAATTGGTTTTACAAGAGGTAATACAGAATTGATATAATACAGAATACTAAAAATAGAACTGAAGTTTCATTTTGACTTTATAGCAGTATAAATCTTTTTTTAATGCATATTATAATTAAATTTATGCTTTAAGTAGCTTTCCTGGCACCTGAAAGTTATTGAATTCTAAGTTGTATTCTAAATGTTTTGCACTTCTGGAATGTCCACAGTTGCAAAGACAACAAAATTAAATGTGTCAATTTGCTGCAACATTTGAACATTTACATTACTGCTTGAAACATTTAATCTGATCATTGTCTTGACTTTTTTTTGTGATTGACAACTCTTTTGCAGGCTTGAAATAGGACAATATAT